AAACATATTTTATTTCAATTATTTTTTAATTTGTAATTTTAAATATTTTATTTATTTTATTTTTCTTTAAATTATGTAATTAAATAAACATATTTTTTTTCTCTACTACATTCGTTATCCCAAACAAAATTAATATTAACTTTTTCCTTTCTTTCTCTTCTTATCTTTTCACTTTTCTTCCCTTTCCTTCCTCTTCTCTTTCTTTCTTTTTCTTCATTAATTTTTATCCAAACAAATTGTAACATACCCAAACGTGTTGACAAGTCATTACCTTTGGTTATTTTAAATTTGGTAACGGTCATGATCATTTTTAATACTGAAAATATTAATTCAAGTCTAAACATACTCATTGATATCTTTATTGCCTTTTAATCTTAGTGTTTCTCCTTTTTTAGTTGGTGTAATTTCCCTAGCTTATGTGTGCAAGAAATCACTAAAAACTAGATTTGTTGTCAAACATTTAGCTTTGATTTTTGAATGTCCTCATAAGTTATCTTTTGTAACATCTTTTAGAGACTAAGAGTTGAATACCACTTGTACTCCTCATCACACTAAAATATTTGATTCATCTAAAAAAAAAAATCTTAGTGTTTCTTCTCTCTCTTTTTTTTCCGAATTGCTTTTACCCTTGTCATTGTAATTTCTCCTGGTTTCCAAATTTGATCGCTATTCTTAATTTTTCTAGAACAACTAGTTTGATTAATTAATCCGTTGACGACTCGATAACGTATTTTAATCTTGAACTTGAAATTATTTGATTAAAATAATTTTAATTAGAGATTCCACTTCATTTTTGTGTTTAGGAAATTACTCAAAAACCAAAGATGGAGGGAAAAATTGCAAAACAATCTGAGCCTGCTTAGTTCTTTCGTTTACTAATTGTCTTCCCTTCAAAGACGCCTGTTCAAACTGGACTCATTAACTGAAATTTCGGATGAAATTTCTTTCCATTGTAGAAATTAAGCTTGATTACGACTTTTAGATTTGATTCAGTCTTTGTTTGGAATCAAAAACTTTATGTCCACAAATGAAGCGGACACAGTGTAAGTGAGGGGTTTAATTTTTCTTCTTAGAAAGTAATCATGAAGTTGCTTATCATATAAATCTTTGCATATAGTCATTCCTGACTTTTCTTTAAGGGACCAAATACAATGACCCAAGATAATAAAATTTGGATAATTTTTTAAAAAATAATTGATATTCACTCTATTTTGATTTTTTTTTTGTATTTATTCATTTGAGTTATTAAAATATAATACAAGTACAATTAATTTTTATATTCTATAT